TCCCCCTCCCCCTCCTCCTCCTCCTCCTCCTCCCTCATCATCACTGGGGCTTGAACTTTGGGTCTGGGTGCTATCCCTGAGCTCTTTTGCTCAAAACTAGCTCTCTACCACTTTTAGTCACAGCTCCATATCCAGTTTTCTGGTGGTTACTTGGAGATAAGAGTCTCACAGACTTTCTTGCCCTGGCTGGCTTTGTACTGTGATCCTCAGGATCTCAGCCTCCTGAGAAGCTAGGATTATAGGAGTGAACCACCAGCACCGGGCTTCCTTTGCTTGTTTTAAACTTGTTCAAGGTCCACACTCTCAACTCTATCCAGAACAATATATGGGCCAAATGCTCTGTGGTGGGCGCTGGTCACCTGACTAGGTCTGTGTTAGGTTAGATTGGATTTCTGAGAGGCCCTGACTCCTTTTTCTGGATGGGACCTTCTGCAGAGTAAGGCCTGTTAATTTGAGGGAGCTCTGATGACAGAGACTGTGGAATTTTCCGTGGACTTCCAGCAGACCAAGGGAAAGCTCTCTTTGTACATCACCTTACCTGAATGCGGAGCTTGGAGGAGATGGCTATAATATCTCCTGAGGAGTAGGAAACCCCTCCCCCCACTATGCTTTCTGCCCTCATTATTTTAGGAGAAAGTGGGAATCCCTTTTGTGAGTGTGTGTGTGTGTGTGTGTGTGTGTGTGATTTGCTCGCAAGCATCCGAGCCCTTCCTGAGAGGGAAGGGTCTCCCTTTACGAACCCCACGATTCCCTGAGCACAGCTGTTGCAGATTCTCATGCAATCGCGAACAGCCTTGACGACTAAGCTGACTGATTCTCCACGTTGGGTCTCTAACCTTTTCCCCCGGTGCCCAACGCTCTCACTGTCCGGCCCGGCCCCTCCCCAGACTCCCCAGCAGCCTCCTCGCGGCCCCCTTCACCTCCTTATTCCTGAGGGTGTAGATGAGCGGGTTGAGGGCAGGGGTGACCACGGTGTAGAAGAGCGAGACGAACTTGCCCCGGCCCTGCCGGTAGCTGTGCGCGGGCTGCAGGTAGGTGTAGATGGCGGAACCGTAGAAGAGGCAGACGGCGGTCAGGTGGGAGCCGCACGTGCCCGCGGCTCTGCTCCGGCCCCCGCCGGACCGCATGCCCCAGATGGCGCGGCCCACGGCGCCGTAGGAGGCCAGGATGACGGTGGACGGCACCAGCAGGATGACCACGCGGGCGGCGAACATCTGGCGCTCGACGGCGCGGCCGCCGTCCCCGCAGGCCAGCTGGAGCAGCGCGGGCAGCTCGCAGATGAAGTGGTCCAGC